GGTAAGGGAAGGGGGGAAAGAAGACATATAGAGGATAACAAACCCATGCTCAACCAGTTCAGTCCCATATTTCCCTAGCTAATATTAGCACAGGAAGGTCTAAGTGCTGGGTATCTTTCAGCTATTAGGGAAAAGCACAAAGTCAGAGGGAGTTCAGGTTCTCAGCTGTGGTGCATCTAAGCTTGGTGAGCTTATGGAGATGCTGAGAACAGAACGGTCATCATGAATAACATAAAGCTTGTGGCTCCTAGCCCTTGTAGTACCAAAATCCTGGTTCAGCTGTGCTACCGTGTGCTTGCAGCTCAGAAACCAACTTTAGGGGGCATTTAGTTCTCTCAAGACTCAGATCTCCTCTATCAGGTTAACTTCCACATTGACTACGTGCCCTGCCCACTGGTTTCTTGATCGCTGACACATTTGGATTTCCTTCAGGCCTTCTACCCTTCCATTAAAATAAAACTCTTCTATTGGAGTCACTCAGTTCTGTTCATGTTTGAACCCTTTTCACAGCAGAAACCCATGTGGCAGGCTAAAAACCACCCAAACTCCTCCACAACTTACTTGGCTCTAATCAGGACCCTTCCCAGTTTAGCCTAGGACAAGGAGGCAGCCATGACTCTCCAGTCAAGTTGGTCAATGGTTAAAAGCTACCAAGTCCCACTCAGCTGCTGCTGTTCTCTGAATAATACCATAATCCTCTTGTTCAGGCTGTGAGCCTGAGCGTAGGCAGCCCAAAATAGAAGTGGTAGAAGAATGAGAGAATTGAGTCCATGCCATGAGATAAGCATATTTCTTCATGGATAATTATGGTAAAACAGAAAAATGCTATATTGCTTCTTTTTTCCCCCCTCATTTCAGTCGCTCAGAGGAATGAAGTGAATTAAAATCTGCCCTAACGCAATACCCAGGCAGCTCCCCAACACCCCCAACGCAAAGGTTTGCCTGAAGTTTTACCCTTTTGTCAATAGAAGTTTTTTGCAAAGTCCTTAATTTATTCTCTCTGTTTTTTCCCATATGCACCTCAACAACCCTGAGAATGAAAAAGGCAGTTTTCTGTAGCACAGGAGCGATTGCTGAAACAGCTCTCAGCATGGAGTTCATTGAAATGCAGACCAACTCACACACTTTCTTTTACCTTCAGCTCAACAGAAAGGGAAATAGCTTCTACTAGCTGATTGACCTTTCTGCTGAATAGGTTGTCTTGCTCCAAAGCTATGATCCGTGACCCCGAGGTGGAGTGGCATGGAAGGCCATGGATAATTATAACCCAACAGGGCCATCGTTGCTAAAACAAGAGGGTATTCAAATAGCTGGTGCTGGTTTCCTATTTAAAGCTGCAAGCAATATTCACAGTAACTGATCCTTCCCCTCTTTCTCCTCATCGTCCAAGGAGGAGGGGATGGATGCAAATGGCAGATTCTTTTAATTAGAACAATGGGAAAATTGGGGAGACAGGAGACTGAACAAGTCTGGCTCTCAGGGGAAGAGATTATTTTAATGAGACCTAATTCTATTACATGAAAGATGATGAACAATCGATGTGCAATCATGCTGACAGGATGTGGTTCGAGATTTTAGACTTTGCTATGCATGAAAAACCAGATTTTTCTACACCTAGTGGAGAGAGAGCAAATATGAAAGAGAAGATAAAAGGAGCTGGGTCCTTACATAGGGTAATTGGCACAATTTGACTGTTTTCTGATTAATACCAGTGAAAGACATGGCCAAGAGTTTTAACCTGCCTGTTGCTTACCAATGACTGTTGAAATCAGGCACTGTGTTTCCAGACACACTTGTTACATGAACCTCCACCAGCACACCTACAAAAGGCTGTTAATTAAATTCATTGTCTCTGGTAAATGGACCCCTAAGGGCTTGAAGAGGTAACACACATCTTGGCAAGGAAACAACACAACTGACAGGAGCATCTGCCTTGCAGAAAATTACAGCACCCACATAGTGACATCAAACAACAGAGAAGCAGCCAAGCCTCTTTGCTCCTTCCTAAAGAGGGGCAAAGCATCAGTTCACCACCCCCTGGCTCATCGCTGGACCAGGCTAAGTTCTGGAGCAAGTTTTGCAGGCCCTAAGACTTAGGATCAGGTTTGCAGCCTGCACAAACAAATCTCTCTCTGGTTGTAGCTCCAGTGAACCTTACTGGCATTTTTGTCCCAATCTCCATTCCTTCTGCCACAGGCCAGATGTTTCTAGTCAAGTGGCATATATAGCTGCATAGCCTTAGATTACATGCTTAGGCAACTACTTGTGAAAGCACACCCACTATTTGTACACGCCTATTAGTTGTAGGTACATTCATGTGGGTACACACTCTCAAAAAGAAGGTTTTCATGTGTCTAGCTTGAAGATTTCTGCACACAACAGCCTTCTGTTCTGTCGTGTTAGTGCTCAGAATCAATTTTTGCTTTAGAAGCTAATGAGGCCATTTTTAACAAGATGGAACTCAATCACACCCATGGAAAGGGACTTAACCGCCTGATAATTTCCACCAGATCGACTAAAACAAGGTGTAACTTTCTCCTCAGCTATTTACAGTTGCTGGATGAGCTCTAACTGGAATAAATCAGATGAATCCCAGGCTCTTCAGTGAAGCTTTGCCAATATTTGGAAGCTGAAGATCATGCTCAGAGGCCTTGGGAAGGTCATTCTACAGACTTTCTGGAATGATCCTGTCTCCTTTATCTGGCAGAAGGTCTCATACCCCAAGGGATATATTAATGTTCTTCTTTCTTACATGCTGCCCACAAGCTTCTCACAATTTGTTTCATTTTCTTTCTATCTACCTCTGACAAAAGCAGACATAAAATAGTACAAACCCATCTTACCAGCATTTTAACACTCCGCTGTTCTCAGTTACTGCATAAAAGCCAAAGAAAAAAGCTGCCCTGACCTCAAAGTTAATATCATTTGAGCTTTTTACATTGATCATTTCATATTTATTACTACGTTCCGTTATGATACAGGCACACACAAACCTCCCTACAACTCCATCGCTGCAGTGAAACTTTCACTCTAATAATGAGAAGCCCAAGCACAAATAGCTGATTATTTTTAGCTTAAGAAGCAAGAGGACAAGCAATAAAAGAACAGGAAAAGTGCATCATGAAATGTACTTTGTTCATTTGACAACTGCAGTTTAGTTATAATTAATTATGATAATACTTTATAGCATAGCAGTTAATGTTCTGTGGTATAATTTGCTAAAGTCTCAGTAACATGAAGCATCCCCTCCAGCATTATGCTGCTAAACCTTTACTATGTAGTAGGGAAAAGTCTGACGTTTTGGAGGTGAATATTATGGAAGAAGGGTAGAAATTACAAGTTTGCTTTGGGAAATCTGTCAGGGTTACATACACAGAGACAGTGGTTGTAGCAGCTCTGCATTTGATTTCTAAGAGAGATACAAGAGCTTGCAGAGATCACTGACACCATATAGAAAGAGTCTTCTGTTGTCATTTCTCTAACCTCAGAACCCTCTCCTGACAGCATCCTTCCTCTGCTGATGTCATTTTAAGATGAAACCCTCATCTTTTCAGGTACCCAGGCCAGGCCTACAGAGAAAGGGTAAGAAAGCTTCCCTGAAGCACTTCTATTTTGCCCTAACAGTTTTCTGGATGGCAGCTCAGCAGGGAGGCAAAGCACACAACAGGGCACAGTCAGATCGAACCCTCTCCATCTTCCAGAGCACTGGTGATTAACCGCTTCTTGGAAAGAAGTGACACAGAGACATGAATAAAGAGACACTGGCTGCTAGACTACAAGTGCAAGTGGAAATTACTCATAAGCCATGGGATTCAGAGGAATCTGTGATTGGTAACCAAGCATATAATAACTGTATCACCAGCAGAGCTCCCCGAGTGCCCATCTCTCCTCCTCCTCTCACTGCTGCAGGCGCCCATGGTGCTTGTCAGCTGCTGTGCTGAAGCTGAGGAAAAGCGAGTTTATTGTCTTTATCAGGCTCTGGATGGAGATTGACATCTCCCCTTTTAGGGGGTGAGGTGGTCTCTTGCATGATATTATTTTTACCTTCTGCTAAACGCAACCACTGTTGCATCTCGTAAAGTCACTTAAAGTTGGAAAAGACCCCCAGACATCACCTAATCCATCCTATTGCTCAGAGCAGGACAACTACCACCAAAAGATCAGGCCAGCTATGGCTCTGTACCTCTTAAACCTCCACAACAGTGTGCATTGAGGTAGCACACTTTGGTCTTGCACTGCCCTGATGGCAAAGCTTTCCCTAATGGATTTGCCTCGCCTGGAAAGCCTAGGACAGATTCTCATGTAAAGAGACCTTTAAAAGTCCAACCTGTATAGTGCTTAGTATGAAACACTAGCTGTGGTTTTCAGGACCATAGTAAGAAGCAGAGTCCCTTCAGACTCTGCTTAAGTTTGAGTGGCTTGATGCTCTTCCTCTACAACACACTCCCTCTTGCCTTCCTTCTCTTGCCCAAAATCTCCTACTGTGTAACCGCTATAGCAGTCATTAAGGAGGACCCAACCTCCCTCTGATCCTTAAGCTGTCCCCATATCATAGGTAATAATAAATATAGGCAGATTTCAGTATAGAAGAATTATCAGGTTTCAGTAGCTGTAACAATATCTGAATTATCAGGTGAAAGCCCTACGGAAAAGCAATTAGATAATAACAGACTTGTATCAGAGTCATCTTTTCATACTGCGCTGGAAAATCAGGACCCAGAATGAATTTGATTGAATTAAATAAAAGAACCAATCTAGCCTCCTCATGATCTCCTATACAGAACTGAAGCTTTAGAGAGACTTGAAAAAGCAATCACAACGTTTTGTTTCAAGATTTCCTCCATTCCTTCCCAATCTTATGATAAGAAGATGAAATCGGAATCACCTCTGTCCACCTTCTCTCCCAGACACTTTCTGCTTTATTGCATTTCTCAGGAATTTATCAGAAGAATCTCCAGATCCAAAATCCTACCAATAAATGAACAAGATGAAAAACTGACCTCGTTGCTGCCACTGACGTTTCAGAATGCAAGTGTGGAGGAGTTTGTGTTGCTTGTCCATTCCCAGATTGCCTGGAGCTTTACAGATGACACTGTTGATTCAGGGTATATTCAGTATCCAGCAATCTGAATAAAGCAAAGGCAATCAGCAGCCCATGAGAGCCACCTGATTTAGGCTTTACCGCAGCTGTAAAACAGACACCATCGACAGCAGTCCCGTACCAGAGTAATGCTGAACACTTCATTTTGCACCATATTTCCTGCTCCTTTTCCTTTGTACAATGCCTTTTATTCAGCTCTGTGTATCTTCAAGAGGGTTGCTTCACCTCCTGGAAAACAATTAAAGGAAGAGCTGTTATGAAAAGGCAGAGAGGTAGTACAGACAGACAGAGGAGTTTCCTATGTAGGCTAAGGGAAGATGAGAGAGCAAGGGTTAATAGGAGGTAAATTGCACAAGGTCTTGAAGTCAACAACAAACCCATCAATGCTCAGTGACTGTCCTGGGATCTGGAGAAAATTGCCATCATTTTAAGGAAGAACATTAAAAAAAATAGAGAAAAAGAATGTTCCCCCCCTTTCTGTGCCTTCTGAATCTATCCTGATTCCTCCCCTACATCAGCAATCTAATGACTGATTCTGGTTAAAACCAACCAAACAAAAAGGCATTCTCTGTTGATTTTAGGGAAGGGATGCGACATGCAAACAGCCAGACTGGTCTTTAGGTGGCCAATGGGCAGACTGGGAGCTGAGGACACAACTAACAGCAAAACAACTGAAGCAGTGAATGTACAAACCCTCCACAAAATTTCCTAGTGAAGGCAGGAAAGCATGAAAGCAGTGGAAAGGAGGTTAAGAGTTGCATGTAGGACAGCACTGGAGGTTCAATGTAATAACCTTAGATAAGCCAAAAGGTTTGCCAACTTAGTTCACAGTTTTATCTTACTCTGATACCTTTACTCTTTTTATTTCCTATGCACCTATGATGATTAATATCCAAAGGTATTATTGCACTCCTGATACTCAAACCAAGCAATTTCAGAACCTGGAGTAAGCACTGACAAAAAGGAAGGGTAGGTGGTGAGGTCAAGATCTCTCGTACATCCAAGCTCTTTTTCTATTTACGTTAATACAAGGAAGAGCTGAACATGCAGAGAACAGACAGGAAATGTCATCTTTGTTCATAGACTTTTGTATTAAAGATAAGACCTGAATATTTAACTTCCCTTCCAGCCACTTAACTCCACCAGTCCATTAGCTCAGGGGCAGTCATGTTTGACTTTGGAGAGTAATGACAACCGCTATGCCTTCAGGATCCCAAACATCTACCAATCCTTTCAGGTGCATCGCCCCTTTCCTTCCTTAACTGAAGGTGTGAACATGCTGCAGAACTGAGAATCAAAGGGAAGAAAAAGAACCAATATTTTTTTCTTCAAGCTTGAGGAAAAAAACCCCAACCAAATAGCTCAGCAAACATTATTTAAACTAAGGGTTTTATAAAGTGACTTCTGCCCCTTTTCTAAACAGTTTATTCTCTCCTCTCTCCTTACTTTTCTGCCACTGACTGACAGCTCCCTGATAATAGATTCTCTCAGTTGGTAGGCATGTTTTATAATGTTTCATTCATGGCACTGCAAACGAGAGGGTCCCTCTGTACCTCCTCCGGTTTCTCTCCCTTTCCAATTGCCTCTAAGAATGATAGCAGCAAAGAGTGCAGAAATCAAAGGAAGTGCCTTCACATGCACTGTGTTCCTGCAGTGGCAATAAAGCGCCTGTTTCCTAACCTGTAAACCCACAATGAATGCTTCCACAGTACCAGGAAAAACAGAGCAGAAAACTCAAGATTAATGCAGAGGACAAGTAATTATTTTGCTCTGAGATGTGGTTCTCAACACACTCAGAGTGGCCATACTTGGGACCACCAACCCTACGGTACCCCAACATGGATATGCAGCTCCAGAACAGTGGCACCTCTAGAGCAGAACAGTTCATGTTAAAAGCTTATTGTATTATTCCTTAGGCAACCCAAGGGATCTGACCACTCAAAAATGGCAGAGTAATTCAAAACTGATGGGAGATGAGGAGATAACCATGGAGTCAAACCACTTTTGAGCACAAACAGCATTTCCTTTTCAGCCTTGATCTCAATAAAATACTTTCCCTTTGTTGTGCAATCAGAACCTAAGACGCAAATTCAGCAGAGGCTCAAAATAAGTCCGTATTTTCTGCAAGAGCATTTTGCACAAACACTGTGTTTTCCATATTTACTTTGTTTGCCAAAATTAGACGTGAAAGCCAGAGCAGCAGGATGGGAGACACTCCCCTGGTTAGAATGACTTCCACTTTTCCTTGGGGTTTCTTATTGACAGTGTAAATTTGGGGCTTGTTAACACATTACAAGACATCAAGCATCACACAGGTTTTAGCTTTTCAATCTGCTTGTTTCTGTTGCTTAGTTGTGGTGATGGTTGAAATCTGAGGAGGAGGGGGAAGCCTTTGTAGTGGAAATGCTGGCTGCCTGTCTGCGCTGGTTTTGCTTTCAGTTTCTGAAAAGGGGAAAGAAAGGTCCTTTCTAAATAAGGGGAAGCCACCACCACCATCAGGCTTGGAAGCTGGCACTGCAGAGGGGCTCATCATTTGATTCAGCAAAATCTCTAGTTACAAAGCAAAGAGGGAGGGTTGCGTTTACTCTGCTAATCCTAACTTCCAGGCTCAGCTCCCTGCTTCGATACAGAACCCAATGAGGTATTTCAGCTAGCAACTTTGAACGACCTCTTTAAATAGATTAAGCTTCTAAATGTCTCAGTAGAAATTAGCCACCTAAATGTCTTCGAGGATCAGAGCCTGGTCTACAGCCAGATAAGATTTGCAGAGAGATTTCTGTGCCTTAGGCTGTGGATAGTGTCTGATGAGACTTACAACAGGCACATTGCAAGCTGCCCAAACCCAGCTTGGCACTAGCTTCCCATCAGAAAAATTGGAGATAATAACATTCTCTTGTCTTACCAGGGTGGAGGGAGGAGAAAGACATTAAAGATGGTGTGATGCTCACCTAATACAGCCCTAGGGAGCAGTTAAGTGAGATTTTTCTCAAGTATTTTAACAGAACAGCTCTACTGACTTCACTGGTGAAACGGAGCCAATTTGCACAGCCCAAGGATCTAGCTCTTGATGCTTATCTAAAGCTTCTAGGACTACAAATGAAGGCTGCAGGTATCACAGGCATATCCTGCTGTTTGCTGCTATGAAGAGTGGCACCAAAGCAGTTGTAATAGCAGTGTGAAGTTTCTGGTGGCACTGCCCTCAAGGTAGGTAGCGTGTAATGTGCATTCCCTTGCTGGCAATGCATAACAATGAGTAATAATTCCTCTGCTCATGGTCCTGGTGGGAACTGCAAGGTGCAGAAGCCAACGACAGAGTGGAAGGAGTCATAGAGAACTTGCTCTGGAAGCAGGTTCAGTTCTAGCCTCACTTCTGTTGTTAGAGCAGTTTTTCCCCTACATATCTGGCACATCACAGCATCAAGAGAGCTGTACAAGACCTTGGAGTTCGCTGTGCATCTCAAATGCAATCAGATTCCTGGCTCTTCTTGCCCTGCCCTTCAATCAGAATGTGCAGCCTCTCCGTGATCTCCAATCAAGGCAAACGTTCTCTTTTCAGTGTCTCACAATAGGTTGACTCAATTTTCATCACCTTCCCCCTCTACAAAGCCCAAGGGTGCTGTTTCCAGACTGTCAGGTTTCCCCCAACTGTGTATTTGCCTCTACCTTGGTAACCCAAACCAGTAGCCTGCATATCGATCTGTCTCTTCCCAGTGCTTCCTACTCTCAGATTCCACCAAGATCTCCACTGAAGATTTCCTAGTGCCTACAATAGATTCATTCCTGACAGACACAAAACTGCCAGAGAAATCATGGCCATCCCTTAATGCCAGCTCCATTCCCAGCCTTTCAGCCCTCCAATATGACCTGTGGGTACGACCAGCACTTCTCTCTGCACAAGAAATAATCTTTAATGGCCATTTACGGGAACACTCTTACTTCTCACCAAGCCTTCATACAATCAGCAACTAGGCTTTTTTTAATGGTGGGTATAGTTAAACATTCAAGAGGAGAAAGCAAGAACAACCCTTGAGTCTTGCAGTTAGAAACCAACATCAGAAATCTGACTCGCAGCTATTTTCGCATTCAGAAAGATCTGACAATAAATCCCACAGGTTATAACGAATAACTTTAATCCCTCTACAAGGAAAAAGAGAAGACAGGCAGATACAAATAGGATGCAATGCTGGACATCAGATAGTTTGGACTGAACAGAGCATATCTGCAAAACGTTACTGCCAGTCGGCATACTTAGCCAACTGTGAGGCATTAAACCGATGCCTGAACACAAATGGAATACTCAAAGCTGGGACTAGCAGGGGACATATTCTCCAGGTGGCTAAGAGCAGGTTGCTCTGGCTAATTACTAGGTAATCAGGTCCACTATAGTAGTTTTCTGAGTGGGAACCAATTTACCCTGCATAGGTTTCCCCTGAGGTATCTCCTGCTCATATTGGATATTTCTTGATTGAGGGGTTTTCGGTTTAGTAAAGTAAAAGCACCTACTGTTTCAGCGTATAAAAAAGAAGTCTGAAATAGCATCAAATGCCCAGCATGTGGTTGGTGGTTGCAGGGGAAAAAAGGAAGTCCATTCCAATGCAAGCTTGGAATGGACTTCAGAGGAATCATTGAAAGCCTAACTATGAAAAACCCACTCTGACCCTTTTCTGGCAAAGCCCATTGTGACAGCTGCAACTCCGGAGTAGTCTTCCATGCCCAGAGAGATATGGCTTGGAATAATCCATCATAATTTTGCACTTAGATGCAAAAAACTTGCTTAAAAATGCACAAAATCAACCAGTGCAAAAAGTGACAGTTGGGGAAAAACCAGATCATTTGATACATTTCCAGAGAGTGTTGGAAAGTTCTTCCCCAGCCAGAGGAACTTCCTACCACTGTCTGAATAGGACAAGGGAGCAAGCCTGAAATAATATGCTTCTTGAAAGCTCTGCATCTGCAGGCTGTGTATTATAGCTGAAATGCCGATGTCAGCTTCCTATCAAAGAGACTTGGAATAGTCATTTTTAGTGCCAAGCTGATATTCAAATGTGACAGGGCAGGTAGTCTTTCT